ATCACAGCGCCTTCGAGTCTCGTGGGCTAAGCCGAAGACCGGAGGACTCTCGGCTGGCTCATCAGCTTTAGTAAAGGCCGCCGCTGAGGGATCTGCCATCAAACAGTAGTACAGGAAGGGTATGTGTCGTCACAGCGCGTGATTGTTGAGCGTTTAGGACGGTGCTGGCACCAGCTGGATCTGGGGTGTATCCGAGTATGAACCCGATGGTACACGGCAATGCCCCGATCCCTACAGCCACTCCTGAGCAACGAGCACGTCAGGATAAGAAATAGCCGAGGAGGAGAAACCCCTCCTTAGCCAAAGACCATTACAGTAGATAGTCTTAACTCTGTATCTTTAGTGATGTGGTCTATTGTTCGTTAAAGTATCGAGGAGGTTCGAACTTGATTATTACGCCATATTGATCACCAGTGATGAGTCACAGCTCGTGTGAGTTTTCCGATATTCCTATTCGGCGGCGTGGCAGCATTGGCGGTTCATCCGCAGAGTCAATTTGTGTGGAGTTTGACAACTGAGGATGTGCGACCTTCTGGCTGATGCCGACACGCAGACTCAGTATGCAGACTAGTTGGAGAGTGCATCTGGCTTTCTCACTGTCCCTTTGGTTGAGGCGAAGGCGTCGGGCTCTGACGCCAGTCCGACAGCACAGTCTTCGGTTGTCGGAGATTGTTCTGTCGGAACCAGACCGCGAAGTTGTTCTGTGCGCAGGAAGGTGCGAGTCATAGCAAAGAGGAACCGGGATTTGGATAAATTCCGATGTGTGGATTTCAATACCGCTCGCGTGGGTGAGAACGACGACTAGAGCCGTTAATCAGCTTTATTCTATCGGATGATGTATGTATTGACGATGAACTCATTTCGTTGAGAAAACTCACCATACTTACTGAAATACTGGAACCGAGAATCGAACTCGGGACCTACTGCGTGTTAGGCAGTCGTCATAACCAACTAGACCATTACAGCGTGTTGAAAAATAAGATATAGTCCACGCTTAGTTCTAGCGGCTCAAGCCGGTTTCGCCCTAACGACATTCGCAGTCGAGCATTGACCGTAATCATCTCAATTTACAAGTGAATGTACTGCAAGTTTATGTAATTGTGGAATCTGTGGTTGACGATCGACTCTTGGTTCCTCTGGTTGAGTCAGCTTAAACCCCAACCACCACTTTCATTGGGAAGGGCACGACCTGCTTTCTATGCGAAACACCCTGCCAGCACTAACGTGTAGAATAGACTAGCACCAAATTCATCGACACGCAGTCCAACGGAATAGCAGTGATTCGATGATTCAAACGCTACAATCGGGTTTCGACAGCTCCCCCCGGTCACCAGAGCCCGGCTTAGACATCTGATGATCCAGGAAATAACAGTGAAATGCCTCCTTAAGCCATCACTAACGCCTCGATCTACAAATAATCTCGACGCCCTACATATCCTGGATTCGGACCCGACTACCAGCATTTCAATGACTTCGACCCCAACTACATGAGTAACGATGCAAAGACCGGTTTCCCAAGTTACTGAAGACTAAGTCAAACAGAGTAGTGAAACTGTAGAAGTGACGTTGGTGAGTGGAACCATAGCAACAGAAGTCGGCTGAGAGGCGGTCATCGATGCGCCTTCTTCCTAAACCGAGGACAGCTGATACTTCACAAAGTACTGCGGAGTTTTCCTATTACTTTTTAGATCCGCCACTTTGTGCTTTCTCTTCCTTCCGAGCGGTTTCATGTAAGGTCTGCCCCCATCCAGCAGCCTTCTTCTTATCGACCTTCACTGTACCAGTAGATGTGGTCTCCCCCTTCAAAAGACGACCGATAACTGCGAGGTTTTTCGACTTCTCCTCATTGATAGGAGTCTAACAAACGAACCCATCGCAAAGGCAATAATACCCGTAGTGGAGCCCTACGGCAGTGTCAACCTTCCGGCGCTTCGTGACCGGCACTTCCCTCTCGTTCTTCTGGCGCTTATCAAACCTATAACTCCAGCCCTCGACTAGTCAAAGACGAATACCATCTCACTTGCCACTAGATGCTGAGCTCTTCTGAGCTCGGGCTAAGCTCTCCTTCAGATTGATCGTACCACGCTTGATTGAACCCAGTTCAGGACCACCAGAGATACCTTACAAATGGGGGGCGAGCATTGGTCAACTACATGCGTTGATGACAGTAGAGAATTTCTGAAGAAATTGCAGGCAATTCTCGTTGATTTTCGTATAAACGTGTGTAATGGGTGAAGAATCTCGAGAGCTCAGCAGAGGAAACCCAAAATATATTCCCACACTGTACAAGACTAACACTGAGACCGGCGTTGGACCAGAGGAGCGTACCGGCTGGCATCTTCTTTCCAACCCCCTCGAGTTTATTCCTCATCTCGCGAACCTTCTGTTTCGCGTGGCCAAGCTTTTCAATCGCCTTCTGTTTGGCGAAAGGATCCTCATACCTTATA